CGCACGAGCATGTCAGGAGTCCTGTAAGACTACAGGGGCGGGGTGACACACTAACTCTTCTAAGATATTACTCAATTTTAAGGAAATCAGCTGTTTTGCACTTTCTAGTTAGAGTCATCAGCAAGTGGCAAACTTCAAATTGATTTACTTGAAGTTTTTTTTTTTTTTCTTTTTAAGCCAGTCAAATTTAGCAGTGGGAGGTTACTTGAAGTTTTTGACACAATATTTGGAAATATTTTAATGAAAATTCCTCCCCTTTTTAAAGATTGAAAAATAAGAAAGGCATTCATAAATGTAATTTCCGTTGTCTTTCTCTATTCTGGGTGGGGTGATGCTGCTTTATTACCTTTATTTGCTATGATCATTCTTCTCTTTCTTCTTGCTCGTTTCTCTCTTTGTTTATGATCAGAATAACTTTAGGTGAAGAAGGAAGATGATTATCAGTCAGGATTCTCAGTGCAAGGGCAGGGGACCCCTCTGTGATCTCAGCCAGTTGCAGTTTTTGATCAGCCATAACAAAGAAGATGATGCAAAGGGGAAACGCAAGTGGTGAGAGCAGTCTGCACACACAGCCACTCAGCCCGCGGGCTCCTCTCCTCCGAGTGCTTAGTCAGGATTCAGAACTCAGAAAAGTCAGCTGAACAAATTGGCATTAACTGATCAACATCTAAGTGGACACATAGGAATTACATTTATTGGGTATTGGGCAGGTGGCGGGGAGGGGACAGGTATATACATACATAATGAGTGAGATGTGCACTGTCTGGGGGATGGTCACGCATGAAGCTCAGACTTGTAGGGGGAGGGAGCAGGGGCATTGTATACAACCTTAAAATTTGTACCCCCATAATATGCTGAAATATAAAAAAAGAAAGAAAAATCAGCTGAAGAACTGGAAAGTAGTACCCACCTTTAAGAAATTTCCTAAATTGGTATCATCAACAAGATCTTTAATGTGATGCTGGGAATACATTTCCTTTTAAGAAACATTTGCTACTGGCTGCTTTGACTTGTGGTTTATCTTAAAATGAGTCAACCTCACTGATACCTTACAAAACACTTCAGTGTTACAGAATTAGCTCTCAACTCTAACCTGAGTACACAACATTAGTTTCCTGTAAATTACTACGTAAGCTCTAAGCCTTTTAGAACACAGGCCACTTGATTCTTTCCAGGCACAATCAGTGGAATGCCATTTTTTCTCCATGTGGTACATACCAGCAAGATTTTTTTCTCCCTGTGTGATGCTTTATTGCATATTGTTGTACTAATACAAGTATTTCAATAACGAAAGAAATTTTTTAGTGTTAAGGAGAATTTTTTTTCTACTTATTAGGAAGACCAATATCCTTATTACGCAACTAATTTATGTGGAAAATTTTCACTGGAGTCTTTTTTTTTTTTATTTCGGCATATTATGGGGGTACAGATTTTAAGGTTTCAATAAATGCCCATTTCCCCCTCATCCCCCCAAAAGTCTGAGTCTCCATCATGACCATCCCCCAGATGGTGCACATCTCACTCATTATGTATGTATATACCCGCCCCCCGCCCCCCTCCCCCCTCCCACCTGCCCAATACCCTATTACTGTAGTTTTGCCTATTTTGAGTTGGATTTTGTGTACAGTATATGATAAGGGTCAATTTGTTTTCTGTGTATGAAATTCAGTATCTCA